CACAGTGGTGGCCTGCTTGAACGACAGAAACAGGATAGCCACGTTTATCGAAAAACGTGACCAACAAATTGATCGACAATGTGATGGATGCGAAGATGAATACAACAAGTAACTATGTGAATCTGTAGGTTTGTAGGAAACACTAATGCATAAACCGTTGCCTTCAATGGCGTGGCCATAGGTATCAAAGTGGGACCCCGGTTACGCCAATCTTTCGCAGTTTTTATCGAACATCAATTTTTCAGTCAGTACCACGGCCCCAAACCTGAACTCTACGGCCGTTACATTGACGATTGCATCGGCGCTACCTCCTATACCAGAGAGGAGCTCACTAAATTTATAACCGCCGTCAATTCCTTTCACCCGGCTCTTAAATACACCTGAGCAATTTCCGACATCAAAATTTCAATTGAAGGCAACAGTTTATGCATTTTGTGGCCTTTCCTTACATCTAGTCAGTTCGGAAAGCCGCACAACACTAGAACAAAAATTTATCTTCCAAATCGGCACGGTATCAACGAGCGCTTTTCATTCAACTAATTTATTCTTGTTTTCTCGTCACCATACTCCCACCAATAGCGTAGCTCCACTTTCTGCATATAAACCCACACACAACCCACAATTCCTCCAATCGCTCTGACAAAGGGCTAACGCTCCAAACGTTAGGAGAATTTGGAATAATGCAGAAACAGTGATGTCCCCGAAAGTTCTTGAGCATCCCCCCTCCGCTTCTGTTAAGTCATTTTACCCCACAAAAAGTTTCAATTGATTGCAGGTAATTTTCTGGGCACATCCCAAGTCTCCTCTTCCTGTTACAACTGGGGTTCATCATCTGCTGGCCCGCTTTTAAAGCCATTCAAGTAATGTCCATGTGAGTCGTGAAAGTAACAACTCAAGTTCTTCCATATTGACATCATGAAGATATGTAATTTCGGGTAGTTCAAATACGAAATTAAAATCTCTCAGAATGGCTTCTCTAAAATAAAAGCATGAAAAATGCATTGTTTTTTCGACTCGTGTAATTTCTGAAAAGTTTTTTCCCGAAAATGTGATAACATTTTCAATCTTCACAAAAAGAACCTCAAAAATTTGTGAAAAGACATCGATCGATATCAGGAGTTTCTGCTCTCAAGAACTAAAAATCATAGATATTAGCTTCCTGCCACTTTTATTTATATATACTAACATATATATATATATATATATATATATATATATATATATATATATATATATATACAATTCAAAATGACTAAAATGAAACACGCATGATTCCCTGTAACTCTGAGTTTCGTGCTTACGCACTCATCAGACAGATTTAATTAAATCGCAGCCTAAAGTGTAGCCTACTAACAGCCAGGTGAACTCGAAATTGTGTGTCGGATAAATTTTCGATTTATAATTAGACACTCAGTATTCCATACCTCTAGGGGCCGTCGAGAATGTCAATAACAGTTTTTGCTGAGACTGTACAAAGTCTTATTAACTCAGGATAAAAAGTCATTAGCATCTGGCATCCATTCCTCGATTTTGTAGATAGTTTATTATGATGATACACGAAGGTTGAAACTTAGTGGTTTTTGTCTTTGGGTCGGGATATTTTCTCAACGCTATGAATGAAAGGACAATTTTTAGACCGAGCGCGAGCCCATTTGAAAGTTGCGGGTTGGCTGTTAGTGGAGGTTGCGAAAGATAGTACCTGTCTCTGAATCATTTTGAGGTAAATTAACTGCGTGGTTGTGAGGGTGAAATGTGAACGTGAATGGAATGCGATTAGTATTTTCTTTCTGTGACGTTTGTAGCGCTCGATCAATTTGTTTCACGCGGTGGTGGCTTGCTTGAACGACAGAAACATGACAACCACGTTTTTTGAAAAACGGGCACATTACCTCTGACTGATTTTTCGAACATGAGAGTATTTTTCACAGTCCCGTTTCGAACATTTATCTATTTGTTGTGACAATCGCCGAGACACTCATTATTTAAAAAAGAGGGTGACGTGTTTTGGGCACAGATGAGACTTCAGCCGTCTCAATTAGCGTGTTATTTCCCTTAAGCTAAAGCATTGATTGAAAAAGGCTTTATTTAACTTCAATTTAAAGGCCCATTTTTACCCTTGACGCAACGCGCGCCGCGACCCAATTTCCAGTAACACGAAATTCCCAGATTACTGAAACCCTTCTAAAATCGTCTTTCTCAATAGCCATCCAGGCCTTATAGTCAACTGTTTTACGGTAAATACATTCACGGTTCGTCATTTTACAGTTTTGTTACGCGCGCCGCAACCCAATTTCCTGTAATACGAAATTCCCAGATTACTGAAACCCTTCTAAAATCGTCTTTCTCAAGAGCCATCCCGGCCTTATAATAAACTCTTGTACGGTAAATACATTCGCGGTTCGTCATTTTACAGTTTTGTTACGATATTATTTCACTTAAGGTTGAAAAGACAAGGTGAGATTTTCCTACAGTAATGTCTTTTCATAGTCTTAGTACTACTTTAAAGTTTACTGAGGCAATTTTTTACCTGAATATTATCGTTATTGACATAACTAAGCCCCGGAATATTCGCACAGGATTCTTCTCTAACCATTAAGTATAACGAGTTATTTCGTCTGAGTACTTACTCTCCCTGCTATGGCATAGCAGGGAGACCCACTTTGCAACCGATTTTTTTCTTTTTTCTCAATAAGAAGATTACAAACGGGTGTAATTAGGGAAATGGTTTTTTCGAAACGCCTAAAATGAAAGTTTGATTCAAAAGAATTAATTAGGCATCTGTCTCTGTAATGCTGTCCATTAACATTTTTTACTTTTCGTTACCACACGATGGGGTGGGACCCTTCATGTGTAATGAAATCTGGCTTTTTGTTCAAAATTTGGCTCTAAAGTTGACTTGAAGTTCGTTCAAAGTCTAGAAAGGACAATTTATGTATTCCAGTTATTTATAATTTTACCAATAAAAGTATTAACAATAACTAATATGAGTCGATGCACCCCTCAAGTTATGAATAAGATAAACGTTTACACCCTGACGTTTTCTTCGTGCGCTGAAGATCGACAAGATGTCTAGATGTATAATTAATTCGGACGCAGAACATTTCGTTTTATCTGCGAGTAATTATCAGTTTTGTAAAATTCGTGCTGATTAATTTTTTCGCAAGGATAACAAGGCATAGCTTGGGCTTCTTGTGACTTTGTTCAGATTGAAAAACTTGTTTTACCGCGAGAAAGAATAAAAAATGAACAAAAAAATAAAACAGAAAAGAACAAAAAAAAGCAACTATTCCAAAAACTTTTTATCCCTTGTTGTAAACGAAATAAAACACATTTACGTGGGCCAGTATTATTATAATAAGTAGCATTAGAAAAATATATACATTTTTAGACAACATCTGTGGGCAAGTCTCATGCATTCAAGTTTTAAATTGTCATCACTGGAGAGATCACATGCGGGTTATTAAAAAACTGTTTTGAATAATTTGCCACATAGAAAAAAAGGAAAAAACATTGAGGAAATCTTCCTTTGCATTAAGTATAATAGAGTTTAACAAGCCAACTAAATCCAGGAGGATCTTATTCCGTTGTGACAATCGCTGAGACACTCATTATTTAACAAAGAGGTTGACATGTTTTGAGTGCAGATTAAACTTCAGCTGTCTTAATTTACGTGTTATTTCCCTTAGAGTTGAAAATCTCACAGTCGCTTTTCGCTAGAAGTATAAAGGTTTTTTTTCTAACAACATGCTCTTTGTATTCTACTGCTTCGTTCTCACCGGTTTGGTTTCCATAATACCAGAAGGACAAGGTAAGATTTTCCTACAATAATGTCTTTCTTATAGTCATAGTACTACTTTAAAATTTACTGAGGCAATTTTTTACCTGTTTATTATCGTTATTGACATAACTAAGCCTTGGAATATTCGCACAGGATTCTTCTCTTGGTATTAAGTAGAACGAGTTATTTTGTCTACTTACTCTCCCTGCCATGGCATAGCAGGGAGACCCATTTTGGGACCCATTCTTTTTTTCAATAAGAAGATTACAAACGGGTGTAAATAGGGAAATGGTTTTTTCGAAACGCCTAAAATGAAAGTTTGATTCAAAATAATTAATTAGGAATCTGTCTCTGAGTTTACCGAGGAATCGAAAGCAAACAAAGACGATGATATCTTTGACCACCATATATAAGCTGCTTCATGCGACATGTTTTTGCCAGGCAGGTTTTTACAGTTCCATGCTCTCACCATGCAAAACATTTTTGTGTGTCAGAGTAGATTAGATGTGCCTTGCCAAGAGGTTCTCTCATTTTGAAATTCAGGCCGATATCCGCACTAATGACACCACCTCTGATAAAGTCATCTGGGAGAAGAAACTTTAACATCGAGAGACTTGACTCAATACTTATGCAATTCTCTGTCTTGAAGAAATCCCATTGCAAACCAAAAGACTTTATTTACTAACTTGAAAACAGACTCGTAATTCAGTATGTAGCTGTCCACAAGTTTGCTTTTTTTGTGTGTGTTAATTCTCGTGTCAATCGTTTTCGAAATTTCAAAAACAAATCATGCGATAAGGTGGACATTTTGAAAACATTTGAAAGCTAGTGAATATTCAAAACTAACCCAGATCGTCCCTCAAATTAATCACACAGAAGCCATAACAGAAACATTTTCCATTTGGCTCTTATTTCGTTGTTCACTGCTTCCCTCAACAAAAGCGCTCAAATTTTACTGCAAAAAGACAGCGGGAAAAATGAATTGTCGGAGAACCACTGAAATGAAAGAATTTTCTCCTGCAGTCACTTTCTTCATAATTTATTTTGAAGGCTGAATGGTTTTTTTTGTGTGTGTGTGTGTTTTGTGAAATGTCTTTTAAAAAGGAGAATTACAGAAGAGAGCCGTTCTTATTAACTGCTGTTCTTAATCAGCCTTTGAGAAAAAAAAGGTTAATTCATTGACGCCGTCTTACCTATCTATGAATTTTGTTTTTCAGGAAAAATGATGTGGATATTTCGTTATTTTCTTGTCTATCTTTCGTTCACCAACCTTGTAACCGCCGAGGATCAATGCAGGAAAGAAATTAACATTCGTGGCATGACTCTCAAAGGCTTCGTTTTCAAGAGAATGACAGTAGCAGCTCCTCGTAACTTTGATTTCTTATGTGAAAGGGAAATTATATGCCAGAGCTACAATTTCAACAGAAAAGAACAGATCTGTGCATTGAACAACCGCACAAAGGACGCAAGACCCGAGAACTTCCGCTCGGATCCAGTGTGGTTTTATATTCGTCGTTTGAACGGAAAAGGTAACTATTCAGCCAATAATGTTGGATAATAATGATCAGTATTTTGGTCATACGCTCGACTTTGCTTACAGTCCTTGTTTTCTGATCTCCCACGCTCATTGGTATTGATTTTTCCATCATTTCTCAATTCTAATGATGAACGATATTAGTTCTATCCCTTTTCTTTGTAGTTGCTTTGTAGTTTCCCACCAATAACGTAGAAACACAACCCACAATTCCTCCATTCCCTCTGACGAAGGGCTAACGGTCGAAACATCTGTTTTTAAACTCTGAACAGTGGTCAACTTACGTTATCAAGTCAGTTGATAGCACCAAATTACCTTGTTATACTCTCCCACCGACGCAGCATCACAGTTTCTTTAGAAACTTACCCCCTTTATTCAGTTTAACTTTTAGTTAACTTCTTCACAGAACAGCTTTGATGCATGTGTGAAACAGTGACAACAAATTATTTCTTTCTTTCTTCTTTAAAATGATACAAAAAGCTTAAGGTCTGGGAAGAAGATAAAAAAAGCTGGTGGCTCTAAAGGAAGGGTTTAAAAGTGTGGGGGTCCCACTTCCCAAGAGAAGAGAGCTTGACAGAGCGTTTAATTTAACACATTCGAAGGCGGAATTGAGTGAATGGGATTAGATCCTCATTCTAATTCTCTTGTGCTTTTCACTCTCGGCTTTCGACTTGCGCACCTACATATACTTTATTTTCATCTTTTTTACCTACATACCAGCTCCCTTGGGTTCGATTCCGGAGTTACCAGCACGTTCATGCCGGGAAATAACAGCAAGCGAAGGGAAAAATACTGCAAGCACCAAATACTGGCTGGATCCATCTGGCACAGGAAAGGCAGTTTTGGTTTACTGTGATATGAATTTGGAAGGTAAATCATCATTAGGTCACCGTTAGTTTCACTTTCTGTTTGAATTGTAGATTCTTTTAATAGCGTCTCTCTGTTTGCGACAACTAAGAAGTGTTTTGCGACAGCTAAGAAGGGTTTGCAACAACTAGGAAGTGTTTTGCGAAACTAACAAGTGTTTTGCGAAACTAACAAGTGCTTTGCGACAACTAAGAAGTGTTTTGCGACAACTAAGAAATGTTTTGCAACAACTAAAAAGTTTGGCGACAATTTGAATCTTCTTCTGCATGTTATGCAAGACTATTTTTCTGATAAATTAATGTGTGGGTTCCTATTACTGTGCGAAAACTAAGAAAGTGTTTTGCGACAACTAAGAAGTGTTTTGTGACAACTAAGAAATGTTTTGCGACAACCAAGAAGTGTTTTGTGACAACTAAGAAGTGTTTTGTGACAACCAAGAAGTGTTTTGCGAAAACTAAGAAATGTTTTGCGACAACTAAGAAATGTTTTGCGACAACTAATTAAGAAGTGTTTTCGAAAACTAAGAAGTGTTTTGTGACAACTAAGAAGTATTTTGTGACAACAAAGAAGTGTTTTGTGACAACTAAGAAGTGTTTCGTGACAACTAAGAAATGTTTTCCAAAAACTAAGAAGTGTTTTGCGAAAACTGAGAAGTGTTTTGCGACAAAGAAGAAGTGTTTTGCGAAAACTAAGAAGTGTTTTGCGACAACTAAGAAATGTTTTGCGACAACTAATTAAGAAGTGTTTTCGAAAACTAAGAAGTGTTTTGTGACAACTAAGAAGTGTTTTGTGACAACTAAGAAGTGTTTTGTGACAACTAAGAAGTGTTTTGTGACAACTAAGAAGTGTTTTGTGACAACTAAGAAGTGTTTTGTGACAACTAAGAAGTGTTTTGTGACAACTAAGAAGTGTTTTGCAACAACTAAGAAGTGTTTTGCGACAACTAAGAAGTGTTTTGCAACAACTAAGAAATGTTTTGCGACAACTAAGAAGTGTTTTGCGAAAACTAAGAAGTGTTTTGCGACAACTAAGAAGTGTTTTGCGACAACTAAGGAGTGTTTTGTGACAGCTAAGAAATGTTTTGCGACAACTAAGAAGTGTTTTGCGACAACTAAGAAGTGTTTTGTGACAACTAAGAAGTGTTTTGTGACAACTTAGAAATGTTTTGCGACAACTTAGATATGTTTTGCGACAACTTAGAAATGTTTTGCGAAAACTAAGAAGTGTTTTGCGACAACTAAGAAGTGTTTTGTGACAGCTAAGAAGTGTTTTGCGACAACTAAGAAGTGTTTTTGCGACAACCAAGAAGTGTTATGGGATACATTACTTCATTGACTTTTGTGTTCCTCAATTTTGATGAATTGTTGGAGACGAATCGTACTTTATTCGAATGTGGTTTACAAAAATCAGTAGAGTTGAAGGATGGCAGAGTGTACGACATTACGTCGACATTGGAAAAGACAGTTAAACTGATCGGCGCCACAGTTAAATGCAAACACCGCGACAGATCGTTCAAAGTTCAACAATATTTGGACAGCCACGTACAATTCAAGCATCCGGCCTCTGCCGCACAGAACCCGAACAGCAATATTTCAGCATCTATAAAAACATTGACTATTTTTTGTAGACATCAACAACCACTCAGGTAAAACAAACATGCACATAATGGCTGAGAGTCAACAGCTTTAGGATGTGCCACGTGAATTGGCCGGTGTTGCGCAAGGTCAAACTCAAAGGCGAAGCAACACTCGAAGGGGAAGTAACAAGCGAAAGTCCTAAACCATCGTATTCATAAAAAAACACTAGATCTTTTGGATTCACTGAAATTATCAACAAATCGGTACAACACAGTTGTAAAACAACAAGGAGTCACCAGATCGCTGGAAATAAAATGGGAAGAAAACAGAGGCAAAATTCTTGCAGAACTGACTATGAACAAGACAAAGAAGAACACAGCGGACGCAAAGCCAATGAAACAAAGGAGGAGTATCGCTAAGAACAGATCCCAACGCACTGATAAATATCCTTTGGCTTCCAATCTTTTACTCGCCAAGTTTAAACTACGGAAAGTAGCAGGAAGCAAAGTGTCCAATTTTTGGTTAAAAAGAAATGAAATCGAAAATTGAAGCATGTTATGGCGCAGAAGAAGCTGCGAAATTTAAAGGAAGCAATAACTGGTTCCAGAGATTCAGAGAAAAACACAACATATTACTGAGGAGAAGGAACAACAAGTAAAAAAAAAGTCTGGGCAGAAGATGGCCGGGATACGATCCAGAAATTCCATAGGGATTTGAGGAAAGCCTCGAAAACACAAAGGAGAAGAACAAGTCCTATACAGTTGACCCAAAGTATGCAAGATGGATACCTTAAAATAGATACAATATCGACCAGGTAGGTTCCTGTCCCATTTGTAAACGAGCAAGATAAAACCTACGACACATTGGGTGCTAAGCAAGTGTGCGTGTCACAACCATCATCTGGTTTAGATAAACGATAAGCTACTCTACAACTTTGTTTTGGGGCTGCTGGGGAACAAAATGTGAAGCCAGCTCTTATCTTCAGAGGAAAAGGTCGTGTGGCAACTGAGGAGAAAGAAAAGTACGACAAAAGGGTTGATGTGTATTTCCAGCAAAATGCTTGGATGTATGAAGAAATCAGCATGCGGTGGGTTCAGGGCACACTTATTCTAGGAATTAGGAATGACTAAAAAGAGTAAGTTCTATTTGTAGACCATGTCGGCTTCCAACAAGGTCAACAATTCCATGAAACACGCAGAAATCAGATCAACACTACAGTTTACATGCTGCCTGAAAACCACACTGACAAAATCCAGTCCATTGATGCAGGATGTGAACGGATTTTGAAGGTAAAATTGGTGCAGCAATGGAAACATGGCTGGAAGAGGAGAATAATCTCGATAGATGGCAGGATAGACTTTCAGCAAAGGATAGAAAAAGACGGATTGCGCCCACGATTCGCTTTCCTCAGTCCGTTTGGATTAAACGTGGGTACTCTTATTTGTCTGCCCCGGATCTTTATTCTGACATTGACATAACGATTTTCATGGATGTGCCATCTAACCCGGATGTGTCTCTCGATGATGACTCAACCGCCTCAAAGGTTTGCAAGATTACCCTGCTATAGCAGCTAGTTTACAGAGGGGATAATAATGTTGTTTGTGTTTGTGAGACCTGGTTCAATAACTCTGTCATGGACTGTGAGCTGCTTTATGGCTACTCTTTCTATCGAAGGGGCAGAGAAGGACGCGTCGGCGGCGGTTTATTGTTCGCTATTAAAACTGATCTACAGGCCTTTCGCCGTTTGAATCTTGAGAAAGAAAACACCTAACTGATCGTTGTTGAAATTAGAATGCTGAACTGTATTCCCGTTATCTTGTACACTTTTTATTGCCCGCCTGGTTCTTCACCTGAGATTCTTCATCATTTGAACCCTTCAGAGAAATGCTGAGTCACGTCGCATTGTTTTGGTAGGAGATGTTAATTTACTCTCTATCGACTGGTCCAGCGATTTACCGATCTCTTTGGGTACTGGGATTCATGCGATGGATAGATCTTTTTTTGTGTGTAATTGTCCAGAAATTATCACAAACGTTCTCACTTCAACACCGGAGAGGTTTGGGTTTCCAGCGGATCATCACATTTCAGAATTTACTGTCCTTTTAAAATTTAAGCTGTCTAAGTCTGTTCGCGCTACACCTACGATTTCAAACGCGGGAATTTTCAAGATCTTTGCAGTCTCCTGTCACATACCCCTTTGGAAATTGCACTTTCTGGAGGCTTTGACAAGAGCTGAGCTTTATGAAAGGATTTGTTTTCGTCAGCTGTAGACCAATGTACACCTACTAAGTCTGTAAAAGATACTAACTCGCCTCCCTGGATAGACAGTGAAGTTCGCCATCACATTCCTAAGAAATATGGGGTTCTGAGGAAATATCGCCTAAATAAGTCTGACGATAACAAACTGAAACTGCGCTCCTTGAGTCAACATGTTAAGTACCTGGTTAAAAGAAAACATCGCCTTTATTTGGAGAAAATTGAAGGCGCATTTTCTGAGAATCCAAATTCTTTTGGAGTTATCATAAAGCCGTTCTGCACCACCGAGCCAAACGAAATTCAGTGATAACCTATAACGGCATAGAGGCTACGACCCCAGCTGAAAAGTGGATCTTTCAAATTCTTATTTTTCATTCGTCTTTACTCCTCCGAGTCCCGTTGTAAACAACGATATTTCCGCTCTTTCAGTGCACCAGTTATGCAAATAACGAAGTTGCAAATTGTTTAGCCACTTTGCTTACCTCTAAAGCGTGCGGCTTTGATAACACTCCTCCACGCCTTCTAAAAGAATGCAGCAATCAAATTGCACCTAGTCTTTGTTCGCTTTTCAATCTCTCCTCACAAACTGCTCGCATACCGTCTGAATGGAAATAAGCCAATGTTACACCGGTACGTAAAAAGGACTGTATGAAACCGGCTGAAAATTATAGGCCCATTTCCTTGTTATGTATTCAAAGCAAAGTCCTTGGACGCTGTGTCTGTATTAAACTTTACGATCATGTTAAACAATACATCAGGCCTCTCCAGCATGGCTTTTTTCGAAATCGCTCCTGCGTCACACAGCTGTTATCTGTTCTTAATACAACTGGTCATAACCTGGACAAAAATATTTAAACAGATGTTATCTACCTGGACTTTGCCAGCTTTTGATTCCGTCAATCACTCAGTTTTGCTTCAAAAGCTTAAACGATATGGTGTGGAAGGCGACACGCTTGCCTGGTTTACAGATTAAATAAGTTGAAGATCTCAAAAGGTCATTTTGGATGGTGTTGCCTCGCAGTGGGTCCCAGTTACATCGGGAGTTCCTCAGGGCAGCCTGCTTGGCTCATTTCTATTTTTTGTCTGTTAATGATCTACCAGCTGTTCTACCGGAAGGTACTCAATCTGCTCTCTACGATGACGACACCAAAGTCTTCAGTTCCATCTCGTCTATAGCAGATTGTGAACGACAGCAACAAACTCTGAAAAACCTGAATTCCTGGAGTCACGACAATAACATACGATTCAATGCCTCTAAATGCAAAGTTCTAACTATAACGCGCAAGAAAAAGCCTATACATCAAGACTTTTTTTAGGCCCTGAAAAAGTATTACACATGCGTGAGGAGAAGGATCTGGGTGTAGTTATCTCGGACAAACTTACCTGGGACTGACATGTACACTTGATTACAGCAAAAGAAAACAAACTTTTAGGTCTGCTAAAGAGATCATGTTCCTTGTTAACTAAAGTGGCAGTAAGGTCCTTGTATTCAGCGATTGTGAGGCCTCACCTTTGTTAAGGAACTGAATGCTGACATTTTGCTCTCTCAGTTTGCTTGTAGGATTGGGAACCTTGGAAAGAGGGAGGGGGGGCTGGTGCATTATGAATTGCTTGACTTTTGCTACGTTTTCAGTTGTTTATCACCAGGACTGCTACCCCTCCCCCCCTCTCCCCCGATGTAATACTATTGCCTTGATTAATGTGGTTAAGGTAAGATCCATCCATGAATTGATTAAAACGTTCTGCTCGCACATTGATTTCATCTGTTAGTAGTCTATGCAGTATTTAATATTTAGGAACAATTTTTCAGGCTGGTTTTGCAGAAAACACCCGATTTAAAAGAACAAAACCAGCCTGAACCACTAAAACACGTGTTCTTTTAAGCAAAGCCAAAAGTAATCGTTACAATTTCTTACTAGTATCATAACCTTTATTCTTTTGTGTATGTGTTATACGAAGGATTTACAGCTGTTTTTACAACTCTTGGTAAGAGTGGAACAAAGGGTCAGGACTCAGTTGGCAGTCACTACACAGGTCAGGATCATGATGGACAAGTTACAGTGTCCAGCGGTATTCAACTGTGGACTGTGCCGCACACTGGTGAATACAGAATAGAAACAATAGGAGCCTCAGGGGGGGTACAGTGAGGACAGTGTCATCAACGGAGGGAGAGGGGCGCGGATGATTGAAAACTTTATGTTGACCAAAGATGAGATCATTCATATACTTGTTGGTCAAAGAGGGGAAAAAGCGTATTATAACATAAAAACCGGCTCAGGCGGAGGAGGTACATTTGTAATTAGAGACGACAACAAGCCTTTGATCATAGCCGGAGGTGGAGGAGGAGTTGCTAAAATGACAGAACAACATTCAGGATGTGATGCGTCCATAAACACAACAGGAAATGCAGGGTATAACTCGCCATTCCTGTCAGGAGGAAGTAACGGAAATGGAGGACAAACTGATAAACCGCACTCTGGTAGGTGAAGAATTTCCTATCTATAACTGCTGAATTTTTTTCTACATCTATCAGTATTTCGAACAAAGAGGTGATACTGGTCGCTCAAATTTGGATTTTTCTCAGAATTACTAAAAGCCATGATCTTTTCAGTAGCTAATGTCAACTGTAAATCTCTTGATTGTAGGCGGTGGCGGCGGCGGCTTTTACAGTAATGGAGAAGATTCAGAGTTTTCCGAGGGAGGGGGCAAGGGAGGTAAAGGATTTCTTGCCGGGGGAGAGGGGGGAACAAATCAGGGTGGTTTCGGAGGTGGGGGTGGTTCTCGTTTTATTGGTGAGATACCTGGAGGCGGTGGAAGGTACTCCGGGGGAAGTGGAGGTGCGAATAAAGATATTTCCTGTGGGGGAGGGGGAGGTTCTTTCAACAACGGAACAAATCAGCAAAATGAATGTTGTTATAATACTGCTGGACATGGTAAAGTGATCATAACATTTCTTCATTGAAATGCATGGTAGCACTTTCCCTAGCGTGTAGTGGTAATTCTGTTTTAAAGCGCTAATTGATATTGGTTTTTAAACTCAATTGCTTTTAATTTTTTTGGGTCATTATTTAGATTTTATTATCAAGCCGTGTTACTGTAAACAAACAGCGCAACTTGTGGTACTAGAGGCGTTTATATTTGAGGTTAGAATTAAAATTCACAAACAACATTTTCTAGAATAGGTGAGTTTGTGAATTTTTACCGGCCTAACCTTCTCCCCCGGGGGGGAGGGATGGAGTAGGGGGGGGGGGGGGGGGGAAGGGACGGGGGGAAGGGATGGGGAGAATAAAGAATGGCTCTTACGTTCTGAGTTGTATGATGCATGAATATTTAGGTGATAGAAAACAGTGAACAACAAATTCTCCCACCTCTTTATTCAATCAGATTCTTACGCGTTAAAAGCATACAATATTAAGGTGAGGCAAGATAATAGTTTGTAATCTCCAGGGTGAGGACAATGTTAGTTACAAATTACTTTGGCCTATAGAATAAAGAAGATACAAATGCCAAGACTGTTTAGACTTTAAATAGCGGGCATGGTGGGAAGTTAGTGATAATTGGTCAAATAATAACATACGGGCAATGAAGACTTAGTAGTAATTTTCTAGAGAAACAGTTGTGAAGTCAGCTCTTCATATTCTTGTGCATTTCATGTCAATGAATACATATTTAACAATGCAAAGGAATGCAGTCAATCTTTTTTTCTCGATCAGCTCAAAACCAAAATTGATTTTCAATAATGATACAGTCAATGTGACCCGGCTTCTTTAATTTTTTTGCCCGTTCACCTTCTAAATGTTGCTGCGTATGACACTGACTGTAGGCGATGGCACATTCAAGTTAACGCAAAACCTTACTTACTTGTTATATTTTTGTTTTTCTTCTAACATCTGGAATGTCTTTTCAGGAGGCTCTCGTGCTCTTCGTCACTTAAAGTGGAGTAAAGCGCTGTAATTTTCACGTAGTTGGAAAGAATGATTCTGCTTAATAATAGTTAGAAATATGTTGAGAACATTCTTTGCTGGTGGATTGACTATAAGTTCCCAAGAATTGTTTCTATGAGTTACAGAAAAGAGCAATCACTTTCCCTATATAGTCGGTCTATAATGTAGATTTAGTAACCTCTAGTGAAACTCAATAAATTGATATCTGGCTGTCAGTATTTTCATGTTTGTTAGTTAAACCTAAATTATAAAGTCACATCAACAGACAGCAAGGTAAATTTGTGAGAGAATGAAAAAAGTATCTATGTATTTTACAGGAAAGTTCGTGGATCCCCCAACTTTACTCATAGCTTTTATTCGTCCTTGATGTTTTTTTTCGCAGCACACGAAAACCAGCCTTGACTGAAGGTCTTTGCAGGGTAATCGAAAATTGTATGATGCATGGATATTTAGGTGATGGAAAACAGTCAACAACAAATTATTTTCTATGACAGCCTTGCATAGCAGGAGATTCCTGACGACGGCTATAAAAAGCGTTGCGAATTGTTTGAGGCCTTCCAACGCAGTTTCTGATTAGACTTCTGATTGAGCAATCGGAAGATATTAACTAAATAATTCACGCACACTTTTCATAAGACATTCGTCACTCATTACATGTGTCTCCTTTACTGAACTTAACTTCAGCGGAATACAACGAAGGTACAATTAAGTACAAAGTCAAATTGGCTGAATTGGTTGTAAGTTGTTATATAAAAACTCATCCTTGTAGATACGGCTAATCATTCACTTGCACAAAATGAAAACAATTGAATCGAGACAGTTGCTGCATGGTGAAAATTTCTATGCAGCAGAAATGATGAATACTTTGCAATGAAAATTTCACATGTAGTGAAATATGACGTGAAGTGAGGCCTGGACGGGGCCCTTAATCCAATAAAATCAAAATTCAGTTCCTGATAACGCATAACTCTTCAGATAAAGAAAGGGGTAAGTTTCCAAAGAAACTTGTGTTGTGTCGGTTGGAGATTATAACAGGGTAGTTTGGTATTAACACGTGAGTTGATAACGTGAATTGGCCACCGTAAAAAGTTTAAAAGTTAACGTCTTGAGCGTTAGCCCTTCGTCAGAGCGAATGGAGGAATTGTGGGTTGTGTGTATTTTTATATGCAAAAAATTGAGCGACGCTATTGGTGGGAATGTGGTGACGAGAAAACAAAAATAAATTAGTTGAACGAAAGGCGCTCGTTGATACCGAGGGGATTTAGAGTTTTGCGGCTTTCCGAACTGCCTAGATGTACGGAAAGGCCGCATAATGTCATATGGAGCTCAGAATGATTAGGGAGATTTAATTAAATTACTTTTTCAAATGTATTGAAATGAATGCGATTTATTTTGACGTTTTGAAGCTTAGTTTTTAAAAAACCAGCAATTGCAAAACCTATTTTAATCAGCGCTTGTATTGATCGTTTCCACGCGGTTTTCCTATTCCGGTTACAGGCCCCCTCGGACATAAGCCCCTCCGTTTCTAAGCTCTTCTAAAACCCCTTAAGAAGTTGTACAGCCCCAGAGTTTATAACCAGCAGTTCACGGTAGAAGGCAGTTAACTTCCTGATTTATTCAGACAGAACGCCATTAATATCCGTTCAGTATAATCAACTTTCACCAACCAACAAGGTCCCAGAGGAACTAATTCAGCCGTGACAACTACTAACAACCACATATATAAACAAAGAAGGCACCCAATTTGAACGCAGATTAAAATTCAGCTCTCTTATTGCCTGATTTTGTCCTTAAAAGTGTAAAACTCACAATAGCTATTTGCTGGGATTATAACGGCTGCTTTTTTTTCATTTGTTTCCCCTAATACCAGAAGGACGAGGTGAGATTTACCTACAGTTCTATCCAAGTTATGTCTGACTAATATTTCAAAGTTTACCAAGGCGATATATCACTTTTTTATTATCTTTATTGAGATAACTCAGCCTTGAAATATTTGCACAAGTTTCTCGGCTTCCACTGGAATTGAATATAATATATCATTTCATTTAAATACATACCTGGACTGGCACAGGACAACCTACGAATTTTGCAAGAAGTTCATACGTCTTTGAAGTTATTTTGTAACACAGATTTTGGATACAACAAGTTTACAAACGAACAAATTTTATGAAACGTGGTTTTTTGGAGTTACCAAAAGCGAAAGTTTACTTCAGAAGTTTACTTTACTTACGTGTACGAGTTTTTTGACATGTTCGATTATACGCGACGGATGGGTTTGACTACTGACATATTTTCGTTTTTGTTTAAAGTTGAGAGTCAACTAAAATACCACGACTTGGAGTTAGATGAAAAGTTACAAAGTAGTGAGAGTTTTCAATTCTTGTGATGAAATTGTCTTATACGTCAAAACGAGACAAAATATGCTGTTTTCTCAAAAAAAAGAAAAGAAAAACAAACAAACAAACCGCAGTGGCAATTAAATATGTCATCTGTGGCAAAGTCCGGCTGGCTTTTTGTACAATTTGGCTCTTGAAGGTTGGTTCACAAAATCTGCATAGAGGACTTAATTCGTATATTCTAGAAAGTTGGTCAAACTAAGGCATAAGTTATCTATGATCCACCGCTGAAACGATGTTCTAACCAAAAGGTTGATTTTTATCGGAAATTTATTAAAATTTACTCAGTCTTGGTTCATCAAAACGAAGATTGTTGACTTTCGATTCTACAAGCAACATGAGACAGTTTTTTAGTTAAAAAAAACATTGCTTTTAAGCTCTTAGATTCTTTTGGATGACAGATGACTACATTTAACATTTTAATATTTGTTGTTCCTGTTACACCCAAGTTGGCAATCTGTAGCGCGCGTAATACTCGAATTAATTGTAGGTCTCGCACGACATCCCCGTGACAAAATGACACGTTTGGTAGAGGAAATAACTACCCTCGTGAGGCTTTGGTACAGTAAATCAAGTCAAAGAAAACACCAAATAGGTGAATGGGTATAAAGGTAGGACCTACAAATGATCTTTCTTCTATTCAGGGAATGTTTTGAGCAATGTTGCATCACGGAATAGAGCGCAATCTTATTTTATCTCATATGGAGCGATTAAGTTCAATGTGAGTGTAAGCTTTGTGAACCAGCTAGGTGTTAAGTGTAGTGGGACGGAATCGAAATGCAGTCAGCTTTATGATCATGTGTAAGGTGACTGAGTGGAAAAATAAAGCAACTTTTGTTTTTATTTAAAGAGCAATCGAGTCTAAACAAAACAGAAGCCTTGTAGTTAAGTTTGAATTATGAAATAATCACAGAGCATAAGCTTTGTGGATCGATTAATTCAGGACAAAGTAAACATTGAATAAATACGAACAAAAACATAAGATTAATAATAACGTGTAGACTGAGTATCAAAAAAGCATGAGCCTTGTGATCACGCAAAGAGCGATACTAGATAACATGAAGAACGTGCCAATAAAGTTCTTGTCACTTTGTCGGTTCATCAATCGACAAACTTGAGAACTTTCAAGATTTAACTAGTTACATATGAACGTTAATGAGAGTCCTGACATGTATATAATCGACAGATTATAAACTAGTTAGTTCATAATCTGTTGATTCAACTTAATTGTTCAGTGATGTTCTTACTCTTTACAAGACCACGCCTCGTCATTAGATTTTCTTGAGAAGTCAAACTCCTCTCTATTGATGTATGAAATTTCCTCTTATCATTGCACGTTGTTCTTCGTCATTTCTCGCCTTCGTTTTATGATTATGATGGGTTCACAAAGCTTAATTTTCAAGCAATATCAATCGAAATATAAAGATCTCATCTAAGAAGGCAAATGGAAATCAATCCCTCATAACAAAGGAATATCTTAAAGTGCATCCCCTTCCCTCCCCACCCCCCTTGGGCTCTTGAGCCCTCGTGTAACGATGTCTATTATCTTTGAGAACAAAACAAAAAGGAAGTAAAAAGAATTGTGACAATCAAGAACAGTTTATTGGACCAGATCATTAACA